TATTAGAACAGCAGCTAATGCTCACAGAGGATAAACAAATTACGGAGTATTTAGTTTAACTAAGAATAAAAGTAAATCAGTGTTTTCAATAAACTCAAATATTGTAGATTTATTATTTTATTTTGTTTCAGAAAAAAAACAAGAAAATATATCAAAACTTAAAAAAATAAAAAACAAACTTAAACGTTATTATGAAATGAACCAACAGAAGAATAAAGATTATAAATTATAGATCATANGCGCGCAAAAAAATGTGAAATTCTCTACTCCAAGAGCACAGCATTAGAAGTTTTATTATATCATGATTAATAATTTCTCTTCCTTTACTTTAATAAATGTTTGATGAAAAATTCAATATTTTTTTCGCGAATGTTTCGCATTTTTAGAGTGAAAACTCTAATCATTATCTGAAAATTGATTATTTACACTTGTAGTTTTATACACAAGTGATTTTCTGATTTCTGCAGCATTTGTGTTCGATCTGTAAATCTTGATTCTCTGAGACTACTCTCCAGGCTTATCTCCCTAATCTGACAAATTTTTACAGATGTTAGAAATATTTTCATCCTCAAAACCCCATCAGAGACCTCATCTTGATCATGAAATACCTTTTTTGAATACATCAGAGCCCTCAAGAAATACATCGGAAACCTCATGAATTACATTTAAACCTCCTGAAATACTCCAGAGACCTCATGAAATACATCGAAGACCTCATGAAATACATCGAAGAACTCATGAAATACATCGGAGACCCCATGAAATGCATCAGAAACCTCATGAAATACATCAGAAACCTCATGAAATACATCAAAAATTCATGAAATACATCAGAAACCTCATGATATACATCAAAGACCTCATGAAATACATTTGAGACGAGTTTATAAATAAAGAATTGAATACAAAAATTTTGAAGAAAATAAAATGTTATATATCTAAAATAAAACAGAATTTATTATAGTTGATGTCAGCATTCTTTAGTAGTAGGACTCCAATACACTTTATCTTAGATACAAAAAGTTCCCCCCCCTGCTCTACCCGGACAAATTTTACTATTTTAATGCTGCCCAGACATGGGGAAAATATTCCCCCTTCAAGGGGTGGCGCACTAGAGGGAAATTCAGGTGGAGAGAGCAGAGGGGGGGGGGGATAAGCTACCCCCCTAAAAAAATCCTTAGCACAAAATAGGGCTTAGTGAGGAACATTTAATGGAATAAAAAGCAAGACGAGTAAGGTATGATGGGTGTAGGGGGGGAACAGATTAGATTAAAGAGAGAAGGGTGAGGTGTGATGGATTAGATAAAAGAGAGAAATTGAGAAAATTTAAAGAGAAGAAAAGAATTTTAATTGCTCTTGTTTAATTTATGCGGTGCATACTTACTATACTTAGACCTACTATATAGTTAAATACAGGGTATCCTACTATATAGTTAAATACAGGGNTATAGTTGTAATATCTGAATGATTTGTTTGAAATTAAATTGATTTTTTATGGTCTAAGTCGTATGTAGCAATTTTCTGAATCTGTATGGGCGCTAAGTTATTCGGTATGAGACACCTTTAACAATTTTCTTCTTATAGACGCAACAGATAGAAGTAAGATTAGTAGCGATCAAAAGCGCTTTTTTAACGCATTAAGCCTATCCCCTTTCATTTTTCGCGAACACTCCCTTTAAATAAAGGGTGTCCTGCTAAATATAATACTTTCTATACTTAGACCTGCTTATAGTTAAATACAGGGTGTTCTGCTTTGTTGGCCTAGGTAAATAAATATTTAATCTTGATTTGAAACCCACTTGGAATATTCGGTATTTTTGAGGTGTACATGTAAAGTCAGCTGTGCTGAGTTTGCCAACAGTTTAAACACTATTTTAGAGATAAACACACATATTTCTTAGGCCTCTATAATCAGTCAAAGGTTTAAAGGGTTCAATGTGCATACAGGATCACGTGGAAATACGTGTACAGTCCCGTTCAGTAAAATGAATCGTATCAAAAAAATGTTTTGTTCTTCAATAAAATAAAGATATTTTTCAATCAAATAGTATTTAATCAGAAAATTCTTTTAGCATCACAGTCGGAGCTAGGTTAGATAGATAGATAGATAGATAGATAGATAGATAGACATTAGGATATATACATAAATAGATAGACAGACATTTAAATATATACATAAATAGATAAATAGGCATTTAAATATATACATAAATAGATAGATAGGCATTTAAATATATACATGAATATACAAGAAGACATCTAAAAAATAACATAAATAGATAAATAGACATTTAAATATATATGTATACATGAATAGATGGACATAAATTTTAAACTATCCATAAATAAATAGATAGATATTTAAATATATACATGAATTGATAGACAGACATTTAAATGTATAGATGAATATATAGACAGACATTTAAATATAACCAGAAATAGATAAACGGACATTCAAATATAAAAATAAATAGAAAGATAGACATTTAAATATATCCATAAATAGATAGACATTTAAATATATACATAAATAGATAGATAGACATTTAAATATATACATGAATAGAAAGATAGACATTTAAATATATACATATTTGAATTTGGATGTAAACTCTTCATACACACTCCTCTGCCGCTTTAGTAATTGTGAATTGGCGGTATAGTCCAAAGTAGGACCGCAAAGGTTGACACATGCTCGGATATTCAAATGTACACCAGTGGGACATGTATAGGAACAGCAATCGGAATACATCCAGCCCCTTCCTATGCAAACATGAAATAAAAATTGGGTAATCATAATATTCTGTAAACCTGAAGTACGTTATACATAATTAACTATCTATGTTTGTAACTTATACGTTTAACCCATTATGTAGCATGATTAGCTTAAATCATTTGATATATCTAATAATGTACATCTTAATTGTGCCTATTTCAACTGTGCTTTAATTCGTAACATGATTGTCTTAATCATGTGAAATAGATAATGACATAGGAATTGTAATTACGTCTATTTACATTGACTTGTAACATTTAAACCTCAACTACATCTGTTAATATAGAAACTATGCTTTGATTACAGTGTAGATTAATTTCACCCTCGTTGAAACATATGGGCTGAGATCGTACCAAAGGATTTGGTACAGATCAAATAAGGGCTTGTTTGATAGCTACGCTTGTGTCCCTGTGTGGCTAACGAATTGCTAGTGTCCGTATTGACATTAATATTTAACAAGATTGCGCCCAGTGGTAGTTCACTGGATTTTAGCCATGTGGATCGTGTCCTGTTTGAGACATTGATCAATTTAGTGTATGTACTGACACTGATAGCTAACAAGATCGCGCCCAGTGGTAGAAATTGATAGTTCACAGGATTATAGCTGTGTGTTGACATTGATAGTCAAGAAAATCTGAGTTGTACCTAGATAGATACTTGTTCGAGAAATTATTACGGAGTAGGCATTTACATTTAAGTTTACACCAGATCACAGTTCTTTATGTTATTTTGATTTTAAGGATGAACATGACTGTTGGTGCCCTGGAACGAAAAGTATTCCATTCTCGGACACAAAACTGTACATTGAGGATGGAAAAATCACAACAGATCTCTACAGAAAACCCATGTATGTACCTACTTCCATCATTCTGACACCCAGCTTATATCTCTAACAGTATACCTTATTCACTTGCATACAGAATTGTAAGAATTTGCAGCAAACCAGTACTTTCCTCTAATGGAACTTTCAACTGCAAGACTAGAAAGGCAGTCTACTGATATATCACATGTAAGAAATGTAAACTACAATACATAGGACAGACTACAAGATCTTTAGATGAAAGAGTGAGAGAACATATTGGTTACATTAGAATCTCCACATAAACCAGCCTACAGGAGAACATTTTAACCTACCTGGACATGAGCTTCTCCATCTGAAAGTTAGCGTTCTAGAGAAGGTTTGGGACCTTGGGAGAAATAGTTTTTATTCCATTTTTAAACTGTAATTCAGTATTTAAAAAAGAAAATATTTTTTTTTGTTCAACTTTCTAAAATCTTTATTGATAGATAGATTAATGTGAAAGATTTGTAAATAGATATATGAATTTGTAAGATTGATAGATAGATTAATGTGAAAGATTGATAGAAGATAGATGAAAGTGTAAGATTGATAGATAGATTAATGTGAAAGATTGATAGAAGATAGATGAAAGTGTAAGATTTTGATAGATAGATTGATGTGAAAGACTGATAGAAAGATAGATGAAAGTGTAAGATTGATAGATAGATAGATACATGAGTGTGTAAGATAGACTAAAACATGAATGAAGGATTGATAGATAGATGAATGTGAAACATAGATAGATACATGAATGTGTAAGATAGATAGATAGATGAATGTGTAAGATAGATAGATACATGAATATGAAAGATAGATAGATACATGAATGTGAAAGATAGATAGATACATGAATGTGAAAGATAGATAGATACATGAATGTGAAAGATAGACAGATACATGAACGTGTAAGATAGATAGATATATGAATGTGAAAGATAGATAGATGAATGTGAAAGATAGATAGATACATGAATGTGAAAGATAGATAGATATATGAATGTGAAAGATAGATAGATACATAAATGTGAAAGATAGATAGATATATGAATGTGTAATATAGATAGATACATGAATGTGAAGGATAGATAGATACATGAATGTGAAAGATAGATAGATACATGAATGTGTAAGATAGATAGATATATGAATGTGAAAGATAGATAGATACATGAATGTGAAAGATAGATAGATACATGAATGTGTAAGATAGATAGATATATGAATGTGAAAGATAGATAGATACATGAATGTGAAAGATAGACAGATATATGAATGTGAAAGAAAGATAGATAGATATATGAATGTGAAAGAAAGATAGATACATGAATGTGAAGGATAGATAGATAGATAAATGTGAATGATTGATAGCTGTATTGGTAAACTAGTGATTAATCTATCTCGAGTTACTAAATCTCTGAGAACACATCAAGTATTCATCAAGCAGGCTAGAGACACTACAGTACCACTCAGGTTAGATACACTGCTAGAAGAACCCATAACATTTTGTTTGTAACATAGGACCTATAAATGCATACAGTCATAATAAACTTTTTCTTGAATTTACAAACATTTTGTTCAAAATTAAAATCAGATTATTAGGGACTATCTGAAGTGCCAGGCATTACCCATTAAATAAAAAATCTAATTTTGAAGAAAAAAAATTATTTTGAAAAAAAAAATCAATTTTTAAAAAATCCGGTATCAGGTATAGCAGTTGTGCCAGTTATAGCTAATATGTATACAAATATTTATTTATGAGCAAGTTGTGCCAATTATAGCTAACATATATACAAATATTTATATATGAGCAAAGAGCTTTACTATACAGATGTAAAATTTTGTAAGATATAGAATATAGATATATCACTTTCTGTTCATAATTAAAAAAAAATCATTTTAGCATTTTCAAGTTTTTCTAGTGATCAAAGTGTCGAAGATACTTTCTGTTTCCTATCTTTCCATCAAATTAAGAAATAAACAATTTAAAGTTAAAAAGTACATCAAGCTAAATGAACCTTTTTATTAAATTTAATATTTAATTTTTTATTTGTTGAAATTTTATTTTTTATGGTTAAATTTTGACAATTAGTTTAAGGTCAACCAAATTTTAAAAATTAAGAAAAGATGTGATTGCATAAGCACAATTTTCTTATATTTAAGGTATATTGCATTATAACATTCTTCTGAAAAAAAGAACATATTCTGAACTTTTATTGGGACACATTTGCATTGTAAATAATTGTATAATTTTAAATTTTAACAATCATGCATCATTAGTGTAATAAAGGAAGTTTTAATTTAATCAAATTAAATTAAACGTTAAAAATTCTGATCAACCAAAAATTATTTCACCCAATCACTTTAATGAATTTAGAAGAATTCAAAATAATATCATTTGTATGAGAATGTATGTAAATATATTAGATTGTGAATTAACTCCTAAATATCAAAGGATTGAAATTAGATTTCAAATTAACTTAATAACCTACTAAGTTGAATTAATGTTATTTAGTCCTTTCAGCCACATTAACAAGTAAAGTTAACATTAATTTTTATAAAATACAATTTTGTTGCTATGGAAACTTGTTTTTTTCAATCATAAGTCTGAATTACCAATTAGAGGGGTATGTATTTCTTCATTTACATGAATATCATATTCCTTTTGGATTTGGACTTTTTTTTTAAAAATCAGGAAAAATACCTAAAAAGGTAGAGTTTTGTTTTTAATCTTTGTGACAGAAACAATCTCAAGAACAGACCAAAATATATTTTCAATAAACGTGGAACTAACATCAACTTTTTTACTCTACAGAGGTTTGGTCCATCACCATCACCAAATTTAAATCTGTTTTATTGTATTCTATAAGAGTTTCGAAATCATTTCAGAGCTGCAGAATAATACTGGAAAATATATACCCCTGACCAATTATGTTTTTTAACTAATTAAAAATGGTTAGCAACATATTTTTGCTTGATTGTCTTACAATGCATTAATTTCTGACACTTACATTTAGTCATTATTTTCCCAAAAGTTCATTGAATTTCTTTAATAAACTTTGTCTAGGTAGAATGATATATTTGATATGTGTCCATGCCTTTCTACTGGTCTGTGTACAGGCGCAACCCCCAAAAGCTCCAGAGGCAACCAAGGTAGTTATGTTTGATACTTTTTGCTGCCTTTTTGTTAACATAACCAACCTTTGATTTCCCCTTCAAAGGGGCGTTAAGTTACTTTATGTCCCTTGGGACCCACGCTGCAAAGTTTTTTGTTTAGAAAATCGCAGAGTTTTTATCACAAAGACAATAAAATTGTGTGCAACTATTTTGTTAATGGTTAGTTTAAATAGCTGATCCTTACCAACTCAAATAGCCATTAGTTCTTATAGCTAAGACCTGAACGTTTACTTGTTAATGGTATTTTCTATTCTTCTTGAAAGTTACTGTTTGTTATCCATGTCAATTTCATAAATGTTGCTATAGATATATATTTTAGAAATTTCAAAATTAACAACTTTTGTGGTTCACTAACGAAGTATTGGCCAGCACTAGGTACAGCAGCTGGTTGCTATTTAAGTATTTAACGGAGTTAATTTGAATTTTTGCTAGGCCATGGTTGGTCAATTAGAGAGTCTAACAGACCAGTTCAAACAGCTTAATGAAGCTTACAGAAATTATGTGTCTAATAAGGTAAATAATTCTGATTTTTTTATTTGCAAGAACAATTTATTTGTTTTATTTCATATTAATCACATTTCATCAATTTATGCTTGAATATTCCAATATAAAATTGCAATAATTATTTACAATTAAAAAAAAACTTATCAACACTAATGATGTATTTATAAGTTCATATATTGTATCATATTTCCAGTGGTAAGAATCTGTCCATTTTTTTGCAAAAAGTATTTCTTACTAATACATTCCTCTAACTTTAGGCTAAAAACTGGGCTTTTATACCTACTGACTGAGTCCTCAGGCATACTGCCTAAAATGACTTATTTAAATTTTACCATACTAATCTATATTTAGACCTTCCAGTTATTGGATTTCAACATTTTTTAGCTCTTTGGACGGCATTTAACAAAATGAAGCCGATTGCACTGCAAAGAAATTTTGTGCTGATTTATTACTTAACAATATGGAATACAATATAGAATATACAATATACAATATACAATATGCAATAACTATTATTCAGGATTTCTCCGCTGATGCAGCACCAGCTCCTGAAGGTGGAGCAGATGCTGGAGGTGAAGGTGCTGATGCACCAGCAGCAGGTGGTGATGAGGCACCAGCAGAAGGTGGTGATGGACCAGCAAAAGGTGGGGATGCACCAGCAGAAGGTGCACCAGAAGGTGGTAATGGGGCACCTGATGGTGGAGATGGACCAGCAGACAGTGCTGATGCACCAGCAGAAGGTGCTGATGGACCAGCAGAAGGTGCTGATGCACCAGCAGAAGGTGCTGATGCACCAGCAGAAGGTGCTGATGCACCAGCAGAAGGTGCTGATGCACCAGCAGAAGGTGCTGATGCACCAGCAGAAGGTGCTGATGCACCAGCAGAAGGTGCTGATGCACCAGCAGAAGGTGCTGATGCTCCAGCAGAAGGTGGTGATGGAGCACCAGAAGGTGGTGATGAGGGGGCTGGAGGTGATGCACCAGCTGAATAAGCTTGGTGTTGTTGGAAAGGACGTGATTGGTGACCTAAAAGTTGAAGTTAAAAAAATGGTGATTTTTCAAAGTAAGATTAAGAACCGTTCTAATAAGACCGTTTTTATATTAGATTGTAGCTCAATAAATTCATCACCTGTAAGTTTGTAACAATAATTAAAAGCAATTTTAGCATTTATGCCAGATAATATATATGCCTCAATGAACACCTGTTTGAGTATAAAACTAGAAACTACTAGATGATAAAAAAGATGATTCTTGTACCGTACAGTTTATTCTTGTAACATGGTATGTACATTGTGACTGTACAGTGCTATAAAGAATTACATATAAACTTGTAAGAGATGAGGATTGGAAGATGAAGAAGAAGGCTCAGCTCATTCTCTAAATTGTTAAACTATTGTTATTATATTTTATCTGTCATAAGGAAAACTTTTAGAAATGATTGAACATCTATTACCTGTTACATTCTTAGAAACATTGGTCCACAAGGTTAGAAATTCAATTAGGCCTGTTCTTTTCATATCTATTCCATTCAGTCCTCTACACATAGAAACTTTTTATGTTTTAGCAATTTATGAAGTTACATAAGGTAATGGATCATAAAACTTTTAATGAAACAATTTAGAACACTTAGTTTGCAAAAAATCGTTACTTTGTGGAAAAATTTATTTTATTTTTGTGTAAAAGCCTTAATCTGTGTTTGATCTGAATTTGATCAAAGGACAAATTATTCTGGGATCATTGTTTCAAAATTTTGTTTTTCAATATACTTTTTTTTATAACAATCCAAATTATCAAAATCATGAAAGACAAATGCAAAATTAAGAAATAGAAATTGTAAAAATGTGTTTACCTTTGAATAGATAATCTGAGCAAGGTTTCATTTGATAAATGTGCAATACCATCCCTTGTTCATATCATACTTTAACATGTGAAAAAGAGTTTGAACACAAAATTATTAGTCAGGAATTAGAAAAAAAGAAAATTTGCATTTTAAAACAAGTGTTAGCAGAAACTGAAAGGGGGGATCAAAAAGTCGGAGTTGATCACTACTGATTTCAGTTCTATTTGTTGTGTCAATAAGGAAAAAATAGTTGAAAACATGTAAGCCTAGAGCCCATAGAAATTCACTTGATTTATTCCATTCAAACCATTCAGCCTAACTGTCTTAAGTTGTTCATGAACACTACCCTTAAATGCTTAGGATCCGTATCCAAATAAGGGTTTCCAGGGAATGCACGTTTCGCGAAAAATGCGAAAATTTTCGGGCGCATATAACTTCAATATTTGAAGTTTTATTATGTCATATAAATTATTTTTCTTCCTTTACTTTAAAAAATGTTTGACGAAGAGACTTTGATTTCATTAGTTATCTTTTTAAGTTTCTGTCTGTTTTTTTTCCGCGAAATTTTTGCATTATTTATGCCTCGAAATTTTCGCGACATTTTTTCATTTGTTTGCATTTTCTATTTCGCGAAAATTTAGCATTTTTTTGCAAAAAAGGTTGAAGTGAAATTTCGCAAAAAAAACGAAAATTTTCGCATTTTTCGCGAGCAAATGAAATGCGAAATGAAGTGAAATGGTCGCGAAAAAATTAAATTGCGAAGATCTTGCAGCTGTCAATCGTCGTATTCTTTTATTAAAGGGGTTTCAAAACAATCTTAATTATTTTTTTTAGAATGATGTTCCTGATTATAGCTTTATCTAGAGCAAGAAGTAGGGATCCAAACTTACTCAGGGATCTAGATACAGTGTAGGCTAATATTTTAGTTATCCCTGTAGGGTACAATCACCATAAAAAATCCAAGAGGAAATAAATTAATCAGAGCTGAAAACTTAAGAATGAGAGATCCTTAATCATGATCGCTTTATCTGAGTATACAATGTACACACTTTAAATTTTCTTCTTATAATCCTCTTTTTGAATATTTCTACTGTATAAAAGTTACGTTTGATAACAATTACAGATACAATGCTATATCGATTGGATTAAAGTCAGCTGTTCACAAGCCAGCTTTTAGAGCATTTAAACAAATATAAATTTAATCATGTTTATATGAAATTATTGAAAAACATATTTTAGGGCTATACATGTCATTTTGAAAGTTAGTTTTAATACACTATTCCAAAACTTACGCTAGTTCAATCGATGTTTAGTTCAATTGATATGACACCATGAACAAAAGAAATCAAAACCGGTTTTTCAAAAGTTAAAGAGTATATCTAAACATGACAAGTTGATTGGTTAAATTTCTAGATTCTTTCTTGGATATCGAATGCGTATTAAAATAATCTTAGGTTTAGTAAAACCAGGAGTTTAAGCATTAATCTTGATATCCACCATTCTAAAGTTTTCAGCTCTGTAGGTCTACATAACATGGAGATAATTAATTAACCCCAGATTTAAAATTTGAGTAAAAACCTTTTAAAAAAACACTGAACATTAAAAAATGTATGTTTAACATGAAAACACATACCATAATATAAATCTGTTAAAAATAAAAACATAGAACTCTGTATACATTTGATATATACACCACAGAACTATTGACTAATGTTGATAACTAAGCCCCCTGAGATTAAAACTTTATTGATCTTCAGCTAAGTCAAGGATTCCTAGGCTTGGCCGCAAATCTTCATGTTGATGGCTAAACCTTAGCCAAAGAAGTTATATCAGAGATATAATGCTGTCATTGGTGGATTTAAGACTCAAGCATTCCCCAGACTTTAAGCTCTGCATCTTTAAAGTTTGTCCAGGTTATTCCTAGGCTAAGCGGATACCCAAAACAATATTTTAGAGCTCTGAGTTTACTATTTCTAATCAAGTTGTTCTGAACTGAAGGGTGTCCCACGAAACATGACAGTTGGTGAATAGTTTAAAATGTCTTCTTCGAAAATTTGATTAGTTGTTTGATACTAAAGAGACTAATAACATTTTTTATATGACAGTTGTATCATAGTAAAATTGATTTCAAAGTAATATATATGAGTTAAACATTTTTTTAAAAGAAATAAACTGCAAAAAGTCTTTAATATCTAATACAGCATGTGGAAGAAGACATTCAAAACTATTCACCAACTGTCATGTTTCGTGGGACATCCTGTAACTGTAATGTATACCTGTGTGGGAAGAGTGAATATGACAGGTTGTAAAAGGAAACAAGAAGTTGAGCATGAGATCGAGGTAATGCATCAATATGGAATGGTCCTGAACTGAAAATATTTATCATGAAGTTTAATGGAATCATACACATTCTTTAAACAACTTTACTGTCATAGGTTACAATGAGTGTATGTAATGAATCAATATGGAATGGTCCTGAACTGTAAATATTTATCATGTAGTTCAATTAAATCATACACATTCTTTAAACAACTTTACTGTCATAGGTTACAATGAGTGTACGGTAGTGAATCAATATGGAATGGTCCTGAACTGTTAATATGTATCATGTAGTTTAATGAAATCATACACAATCTTTAAACAACTTTACTGTCATAGGTTACAATGAGTGTATGGTAGTGAATCAATATGGAATGGTCCTAAACACACAATCTGTAAAGAACTTTACTGTCATAGGTTACAATTTACAATAAATGTACTGTATGGTAATAAACAGAAATTAATAGTCTCAAACTGCAAATATTCTTCAGCTAATGATATACTTCATGTTCTAACCTGATATTCCATAAAAAATATTTTTTCGACTAAAAATTGCTATTTAAACATTTTTTATTTTTAACGACAAGATATTTACCTGGAAAAATATTGTTTAATCTCGAAAATCTCAAGGATGGATGCTATTTTAGTTTCGCCTAAAATTTGAAAATTTAATTTATTAAATCTTTAAAAATTATTTATTTCACTTTCAGACATTATTACTTATGACCTGAATTTATCTGATTTAAAAGCTTGAGAAACAGTAGCATTGACTCTCCCATTTTAATCTAGATATTTATACTTCACAATAATGTAAATAATAATCAACTTAAATTCAGTATATTTGATATTATAAAAGCCTAATAATATATCAAATCAAATCTGAGGAACTTCCTTTAGACCTTCTAATATTGTATATAATACCTGCAGTACACTGTTGTACAGTACGGTGGTAAGAACTGGATATAATTTATCTTGATGTTCAGCAACACGCCTGTATGTACAGAGTCTAATGAAGTGTGTACAGTGTACTGTACAGGGCACATATATCAATTAGTAATTAACAAATCTATCAGTAGATGAATCAATAATCAAATCAATGATAAATCAATGATTGATCTACTGTAGTGTTCTATAAATCAATTATTGATCTACCTGTAGTGTTCTATAAATCAATAATTGATCTACCTGTAGTGTTCTATAAATCAATGATTGATCTACCTGTAGTGTTCTATAAATCAATGATTGATCTACTGTAGTGTTCTATAAATCAAAGATTGATCTACCTGTAGAGTTCTATAAATCAATGATTGATCTACCTGTAGTGTTCTATAAATCAATGATTGATCTACCTGTAGTGTTCTATAAATCAATTATTGATCTACCTGTAATGTTCTATAAATCAATGATTGATCTACTGTAGTGTTCTATAAATCAATGATTGATCTACCTGTAGTGTTCTATAAATCAATGATTGATCTACCTGTAGAGTTCAATAAATCAATGATTGATCTACTGTAGTGTTCTATAAATCAATGATTGATCTACCTGTAGTGTTCTATAAATCAATAATTGATCTACCTGTAGTGTTCTATAAATCAATGATTGATCTACTGTAGTGTTCTATAAATCAATGATTGATCTACCTGTAGTGTTCTATAAATCAATGATTGATCTACCTGTAGTGTTCTATAAACCAATGATTGATCTACCTGTAGTGTTCTAACAGCTGCTCTGTGTTCCAGAAGTGTGTTGAAAGAAACACACGAGGATATAGAAGAGCAAGAGGGAAAACAATGTTCTAAATTTCATCATTCATCATTAATCACGTCATTTTTATTGTTGGTCATAAATGTCATCAAATTCATATACCATTGCTTAAATGTCGTCTTTCTATTCCATAGATTTATGGGTCCCAATAAATAATGTCATCTTTCTATTCCATGGTTTTATCGGTCTCAATGTACAATGTCGTCTTTCTATTCCATAGATTTATGTCGTCTTTATATTCCGTATATCACTGTATACCTGAGCAAAGGGAAGTGCTGATATGAGTAAAACTGGTGTAACACGAACCAGATCTTTAGGGAGTCTAACTCAAACAACCAAAATTTTTAAATTAAACTTTTTTAAACTTTAAAATTAAAAAAAAAACATATTTTATCCCGTGCATTTAAGTTAATAATAAGAAATTTATGGTCTAAGTGGGTAAACCCCCAAAAAATTATATCTCAACACATACATATTACATTAAGCAATAATCTGAGTTTGTCCAATCCGATCCGATCACAACTTAGGAACCCCTTGACCAATTTGCCTAAAACTTTGATTATGGAATTGGTAAGAACCACACAGATTTTCTAAGCTTGGTTTAAAAAGATAAGTGGCTTTACTTTCAAGGGGAAAACTTAGTTTCCATGCAAAGTTGGGTTTCCAAGCTGTAGTATTAGTGTAAACAATTGTTTTCCTGATGTAAACTTCTAAATCATTTCTGAAACAAATTATTATTTTAAATTTTAATAATTTAAATTGTATCTACCATGAATTGTAAAAAAAGAAGGAAATACGGTCTTCCATTAAACATAGAAATTAACAGGCAGTTTTAAAACCTCTTACACACAAAAGGATGCGACTATTATGACAACTTGAAACTCTTAAAAAAAATATCATAATACTGGTTAAATGTCGTCTTCATAATCCCAAGTTTTAGGGTCTCATTTAGTTTTTATCAAATAGATTGTTAAGCACAATAGATGGCAAGGTAGTATTTGTACACTCTTAGTACAGCTGTATTCTTACATCACAAGTGTCAATTCAGTTTTTGTGTCCGACAAAATTATTGAAAATAGTGATAATTTTAGAATAAAGAGTTTATCTTTCAGTGTAAAAGGTCCATTTTTTGTGTTATTTATTTTCTGTTTTTACACTTTTTTGTTTAATCCTGGAAAACATTTCAACTAATGTAAAACAATTTCGTTTTCCTTGTTATATTTGACACTTGTGACGTCGTGTAAAATTGGTCCATTTCTCTGTTGCCACCTATTGTACTTGATAATCTATTTAGTTTATATAAAATCCTACCTTGAGAGTTGTGAATAGTCTCTGGCTTTATTCTTGGCTATAGATCTGTGTACTCCACTGTACACTTTCATCTCACTCAAAATACGGAATCATGAGAGTACATTTTAGTACATTTAGTACATTTTTATCAAAATTCAAAAGAAATTGGAATAATTTCTTTTTATAAAAACTCTTTCTACCACTGTATAAATATGGTTGTAACAAGAAAACTGTATGAATATGCTTGTAACAAGAAAACTGTATAAATATGCTTGTAACAAGAAAACTGTATAAATATGGTTGTAACAAGAAAACTGTATAAATATGGTGGTAACAAGAAAACTGTATAAATTTGGTGGTAACAAGAAAACTTTATAAATATGGTGGTAACAAGAAAACTGTATAAATTTGGTGGTAACAAGAAAACTTTATAAATATGGTGGTAACAAGAAAACTGTATAAATTTGGTGGTAACAAGAAAACTGTATAAATATGGTGGTAACAAGAAAACTGTATAAATATGGTTGCAACAAGAAAACTGTATAAATATGGTTGTAACAAGAAAACTGTATAAATATGGTTGTAACAAGAAAACTGTATAAATATGGTTGTAACAAGAAAACTGTATAAATATGATGGTAACAAGAAAACTGTATAAATATGGTGGTCACAAAAAAACTGTATAAATATTGTTGTAACAAGAAAACTGTATAAATGTGGTAGTGACAAGAAAACTGTATACATATGGTTGTAACAAGAAAACTGTATAAATATGGTGGTCACAAGAAAACTTTGTGAATATGGTTGTAACAAGAAAACTGTATAAATATGGTAGTAACAAGAAAACTGTATAAATATGATGGTAACAAGAAAACTGTATAAATATGGTTGTTACAAGAAAACTGTATAAATATGCTTGTAACAAGAAAACTGTATAAATATGGTTGTAACAAGAAAACTGTATAAATATGCTTGTAACAAGAAAACTGTATAAAAAATGGTTGTAACAAGAAAACTGTATAAATATGGTGGTAACAAGAAAACTGTATAAATATGGTGGTAACAAGAAAACTGTATAAATATGGTGGTAACAAGAAAACTGTATAAATATGGTTGTAACAAGAAAACTTTATAAATATTATGGTAACAAGAAAATTGTATAAATTTGGTGGTAACAAGAAAACTGTATAAATATGGTGGTAACAAGAAAACTGTATAAATATGGTTGTAACAAGAAAATTGTATAAATATGGTTGTAACAAGAAAACTGTATAAATATGGTGGTAACAAGAAAACTTTATAAATATGGTTGTAACAAGAAAACTGTATAAATATGGTTGTAACAAGAAAACTGTATAAATATGATGGTAACAAGAAAACTGTATAAATATTGTTGTAACAAGAAAACTGTATAAATGTGGCAGTAACAAGAAAACTGTATAAATATGGTTGTAACAAGAAAACTGTATAAATATGGTGGTCACAAGAAAACTTTATAAATATGGTTGTAACAAGAAAACTGTATAAATATGGTAGTAACAAGAAAACTGTATAAATATGGTGGTAACAAGAAAACTGAATAAATATGGTGGTAACAAGAAAACTGAATAAATATGGTGGTAATAACAAAACTCATAAATGTAGCTTTGTTTTTAAATTATAAAATTTTGCAAAGGATTTTTTTATATTATAATAATATAATGGAAATGGAAAATATTGTCGCTTTTTAGGCGTTGGGACATTTCATAGATAAATATATTTCATAGATAAATACATTTCATATACAGGACATTTCATAGATAAATACATTTCATAGACAGGACATATCATAGATAAATACATTTCATAGACAGGACATTTCATATACAGGACATTTCATAGATAAATACATTTCATGTACAGGACATTTCATAGATAAATACATTTCATATACAGGACATGCTCTTATCAATATTTTGTTTGAAGTTAGCTTAAGAAATGTTGAAATAAATTCTAAACGAGAGTAAAGAAGGAGTAAAGCAGTCAACGCTTAAGAAGTTTTTAATTATTTTCATAGCGTAGAGTAAAAAAGTAAATCGGTTGTATATCTTTTTAAAATATTCATTAAAGTTCAATTTAGTATCCAGCTATATTCCCAGGAATCTAACTGAATCAGTTTATTTCATGCGTTAAATTTTTCGTCTAGTTTCTCCTAGTTTAAAGAAAATATCGGGACAGTCGTTATGTGTATTTAGAGAATTTGAAAATAAAATTGTAAAGTTTTCTCAAAGTTAATAGTAAGTTTATTATACATGTACCAACAAGTTATTTTTTTCTAATTCTATATTTATTGTGTCCGTAGAGTCTGTAAGCAGGACATATCATAGATAAATACATTTCATATACAGGACATTTCATAGATAAATATATTTCATAGGCAGGACATATCATAGATAAATACATTTTATTTATACAGGACATTTCATAGATAAATACATTTCATAGACAGGACATTGTTCAATCCATTAAATGGCCTTTATTTGCATCTTCATATATTTCATATTACATTAACATTTACGTTTTCTCTTAACTATGAATTATCCTATTTATGAAATGTCCTATTTATAAAATGTCCTATTTATGAAATGTCCTGTCTAAGAAATGTCCTATCTATGAAATGTCATATCTATGAAATGTCCTATTTATGAAATGTCCTGTCTATGAAATATCCTGTCTATAAAATGTCCTATCTTTGAACTATCCTATCTATGAAATGTCCTATTTGTGAAATATACTATCTATGAAATATCCCACTGCCACTTTTGTCTTTCTGAAGTGTTAAATTCTGACAATTCACTTGACAGAGAAACCACACAATTGAAAATAATCCACTTTTAACATTTAAAAGTGAAGATTTACTAGAAAATGTGCGTTCAGGAACATCTTAAACTGGTTATTACTGTGCTACCTGAAAAGACTTTTAGTTCCAATGGAGAAAATTTTGTACGTTTTCACCACACGATCAGGAAAAGCTGTCTGAGGAAGCCATGTTTATTAATCATTGATTAACTTAATTCATTTATTTATTTAAGTTTTGATTTTATGATTGGCTGAAATGCTTTTTATTTTGATGCGGATCCGGAATCAATTCAGTTTTGGATCATTTTATATATAATCCTAAGTTTTATCTTATAAAAAATAAGTCAATGAAAAAACTGGTTCCTTAAGAATATCTCCGTAGGATTTAAGGTATAAGAAGAGATTGTTAAACATTTTCCAGAATATTCTAGTTCTTGTTTCTTCACTCCGGGCCTCAACTGTTTGTCTTCGTTCTTCAATCCTTTCCTTCATTTCCGTTTTCTTCTCCTCCATTCGTTCCCGCATTTCTGTTTTCTTGTCCTCCATTCGTTCCCGCATTTCTGTTTTCTTGTCCTCCATTCGTTCCCGCATTTCAGTTTTCTTCTCCTCCATTCGTTCCAGCATTTCTGTTTTCTTGTCCTCCATTCGTTCCCGCATTTCTGTTTTCTTGTCCTCCAATCGTTCCCGCATTTCTGTTTTCGTTTCTTCCAATCGCTCCAGAAATTCTGTTTTCTTGTCTTCCAATCGTTCCCGCATTTCTATTTTCTTCTCCTCCATTTGATCGCGCATTTCCGTTCTTTTGTCCTCCATCATTTCCACCATTTCTGCTCTTTTTTCTTTCAACATATTTTTCAAATCCATCTGTCGGTCACTAAACTGTTTATTAAACTCAATAATTTTCTCGTTCTCAGTTTCCTCATTGGTGTTTTCAGATTCACTTCCAGTTTTGCTCTTCACATTCACAGGGCTATTAGTCTGATTAGTTGGTTTTACTTCCTTTTCAATATTTGTCTTAGTCTATGAATATAAGGAATGAAATTTATTAAAAATAATATTATAAAAATCTAGCATCTATTCCATAGAATTTTAGAAATCAGGTAAATCTCTGTAGAGTAAAAAAAGTAGATGTTAGTTCCGCATTTATTGAAAATATATTTCGGCCTGGGTTGACCCTCGTCAGTTCTAACGATGTAATAATCATCAAAATCGATAAAAAAAAAATTTAAAAATTGTTAAAAACCACAAAAAAAATAAACAAACAAAAAAAATCGGACTGTCAAATCGACATAAGGGAAACGAACTCAGATTATGAGATGGAAAAAAGACAATTTGCAAATTTCACTTTAAAAAATCTTTTTTTTAAGACCACAACTTTGTCCGATAATTCCATCCGCTCAAGAATGAATGAGAGATCAAAAATTTCATATTATACTCGATTACTTTTAAGTATCGTTTTTTCCTTTAACATAAAATAGTTAATTGAATTCATTCCATTCCAATACCCTGGAGATGAGATCATCTCTGCTAACGCCTGAACATTCAGCACATTTTCACAATTTAGAATTTCAATACAATACAAACTAAAATATTTTAACAAACGAAAAACTAAAATGTAGAAGCGACACATTAACATTAAAATTTAACAATTGAAAAAAAATTACATTGAATAAAATGGCTGAACCTGGAGTAAAGTGAAAGCTCTGGACAAATATTGGTGAAAAATGTTCGTAACTAGTATTTGGCCTGCAGCCCAGTAACTGTCGCCCTGCTCTGGTGCCAAAACGAATCAACATTTTGAGAAAAAAGTCGAATTCTGAAAAAATTTTATTCTAAAAAATTTACGTCAACAATTTGATCACAGAGGTGCGCGTTAGTCGGAGATTTTTGACCGTTTCCTGGTCAGGGAAATTTCCTTTAAAATTGGTTGAAATTATTTCAAACGAACATTGAAGAACCCGCTTCAAGGTGGTTTTAGGTTTAAACTCCACCGTTTCTTCGCCTTCTCCCTCCTTCTTTATATCCGCCTCTTTCTTAATGTCCGCCTCCGCCAGGGCGGATGCCAGATGCCGGACAATACTCAGAATTCTGATGCAAAGAGACCGCTCTGTAATCTATAACAAGAAAATATTAAATAATCTTGCTAAAATGTTTAGATCTGTTCTTTGCTATTCCCTCCCTTGTCCTCCTTCTGAAAAAGAAAAACCTCCTGCAACCTCCCTCCCTAGAATATACTTGACACAGTTAGGTCAGGTTAGGTCAAAAGAGATAGTCGCAAAAGGTTGCTATTTTCCTTGTGTACTTTATTTTCCTTGGTTGGGAATTACAAAAATGTGTGATTGCTCTCCCTCCCTTGCTGGAGGATTACAAATTGCGTGGGTGCACTCCCTTTCTAGCTTGGGAATTAAAAATTGTGTAGTTGCACTACATCCCTCGATTGGGGATAAAAATGGTGTGGTTGCACTCCTTCCCTCTCTTGGGATTAAAAATGTGTGCGGTTGCACTCCCTCCCTTACTGACCTGACTAGATATAGCCGCTAGGAACTGTGGAAGCCCATGAGAAGAAACAAGATGGAAGCCAGCAATCTGGAGACTTGAACTCCGTTCCAGGATCTCTAGGATCAATCCTTGTACACTTCTAGATAGATAAATAGATAAATAGATAAATAGATAAGATAGACATATATTAAAAATACCTATCAGACACTGTAGACCCAAAGTTACTCATTAGAATCTTGTAGACAAACTGTTGAACATACATTTGGTGATCCAGCCGATCCCTTAATCCATCCCTAATTACAAATATGGATTATTTATTCAAATATGGATTATAAATTAAAAAATGGACTATCAAATAAAATATGGATTTTCAAATAAAATATGGATTTTCAAATAAAATATGGATTTTCAAATGAAATATTTATTATCAAATAAAATATGGATTTTCAAATAATAATGAATTATTAAATAAAACATGGACTATCAAATAAAATATGGTTTCAAATAAAATATGGATTATCAAATAAAATAGTGGGCTGTAACAAAAATAATTATAAAATGACGTATTCTATTCATGAAATGGCATGTTCTGTGAACAACACTGACGAAACAAGCGTTATAGCTTCAAGAATGGAGGAGGCAACCATTTTTTATCTTAGAAAATTGAATATTCAAAAACATATCCCTTCAAAATTTTCTTGCAGATTAAAGCTAGAAAAGAAATGGTTCGGAAATTCTTAGAAAACGCTTCTCAAGTTTGAACAACAATATCTAACACATAAAGTATCTATGACATTTTTTAATATCTCAATAAATAATGGTGTTAGTCGGTCCTACTTTTGCATGTATACTTATCTGCTGCTCTATGAACAGGATATGACGTCAAATCTTCAATATCTTCGTTCGGAGGCCGGACATATAGGATAAGGTACCTCCGTCGGCTCCGAGGTGCCGGAGATTAAAAAATCGGAGCCGACGTAGGTACCTTATCCTATATCTCCGGTCTCCGAACTGAGATATTGAAGATTTGACGTCATATCCTGTTCATAGAGCATCAGATGAGTATACATGCAAAAGTAGGACCGACTAACACCATTATTTATTGAGATATTAAAAAATGTCATAGATGTAACGCCTCCTTTGATTCTACCTGAGAACTGAAAGTATCCAGAGCTGTTGAGGTCTAGGATTCACATCTTTACTGTTAAACAGTCGGAGGAACTCGGGAACACTGAACAGGTTTAACAGCGGCTTCGCCAGCAGAAACCCACTGGAATATAGCAATCAATCAATCAATTTATTTATCTCTTTGTACCTAATAATGTTAAACAAGTCTATATTACAATTTGTACTAACAGCGATTAAAAGTATATATACTTATAAACCTCATGACTAGCAAGGGAAAATATTTGTAGGAATCAGTGCTTAGGATCCATTTAATTTTGATGCGGATTCGGATCCGCACTGGTAAAAAATAAATCCGGATCCGGATCCAGGTCATTTCTTTAAGATTTACTGATTTTTTTTAACAAAAAATAATTTTCAAATTTTTTGTTTTATTTTTTTCGCTTATTTTTACCCTAAAACTTTATGAACCATTCAGAAATGAGGAAATTTTTATAACCTCTTTTTTTTAAATTGAGATTTGGGTTTTAGGAGTAAAAATTTTTTTTTTAAAGTTTTTGATTGAAATTTTACCCCTTGGATCCGGATCCGTGGATCCGCATTCTTTTGCGGATCCAGATCCAGGAAGCCAAAATTTTGCGGATTTAACCGATCTGGATCCTAAGCACTGGTAGGAATAAGTAAGTACATTGTTCGTTGTATTTTAAGTAATTAAATGGCATTTATGTACCTAGTGACCTAGTACCTAAACATTGAGTGTGATGGGTTGCTAAGTTGAATTATATTATACAGTTACAGTAAGTGATAGAATAAATGTGTGCTTGTACATACAATGTGGTTTATTATATTATCTATGTACTAAATACTGTAGTACAAGTAGTGTGATGGGTTGCCAAGTTAAAGTATATTATACAGTTACATTAAGTGATGGAATGAAATAACTGTGTGCTTGTACAATGTACATACAATGTGGTTTATTATATTATCTATGTACTAAATACTGTTGTACAAGTAGTGAGATGGATTGCTAAGTTAAAGTATATTATATTATATTATCTATGTACCTGATACTGTTGTACATGTAGTGGGACGGATTGCTAAGAATGAATTTACTATACTTGTACATAAAAAAGTGGATACGTAAACCGTTTATGAACCAGATACTGTTGTACATGTAGTGGGACAGATTGCTAAGCATGACTTTACTATACTTGCACATAAATAAGTGGATATGTAAACCGTTTATGTACCTGATACTATTGTACATGTAGTGGGACGGATTGGTGAGTATGAGAACTGCTCTGGCTAGAAATATTGTGACGACACTCGGCAACTTTAAACAAACCTTAACAAAAAGATGGATAGATGGATAGATAAGTAAATGGCTAGATGAATAGATAGATGTATAGTTGGGTAAACAAATAGATTGAATAAATGAATAGATGAATGAAAGGATGAACAGCGATCTGACCCAAATCACCCTCACAAAAAAAAATTTAGCACACAGGCCCATTTGTTCCATATAAAGTTAAATGTTCCTTAAAAAATTTCAGATGTCTAGAAAGCCATTAACAGTTTCATGTAAAAATATAAATATTGCTGAATAAATAACCCCTTGTTAACACTGCAAAAGTGTGCTCACCAAAAACACAGTTTTCAAATGAAACCTCTTAGCTTTAAACTGCTACCTGAGCAATGCACTATCTGCCTAATTTATCTTGGCTATGAACTATCTACCTAATTTATCTTGGCTATAAACTGTCTACCTAACTGACCCCTTAGATATGAACTTTTTAACCTGATTGACCCCTATCTATGAACTATCTATTTGATTGACCTCCAAGCTATAAACTGCTTCTGATTGACCTGCTAGATATGAACTGCTTCCTGATTGAACTCCTAGATATGAAATGATTTCTGATTGACCTGCTAGATATGAAATGATTTCTGATTTACCTCCTAACTATGAACTATTTACCATATTGAACAGCTAACTATTAACTCTCTCCCTGACCCCCTAGCTATGAAATGATATCTAATAGACTTCCCAGTTATGAACTGCTACCTGATTGACCGCCTAGATATGAATTGATTCCCCAAGCTAAGAGCTATCTACTTAATTGACCATTTCCTATGAACTGCTACCTAAATGACCCCCTAGCTCTGAAGTATCTACTTGACTGACTCCCAAGCTATAAATTACTACCTGATTAACCTCCTAGTCATAAACCATTGACCTGATTGACCACTTAACTATGAACTACCTGATTGACCCCATAGCAATGAACTGTCTACCTGATTGACATCCTTGCTATCAACTATCTATCTGATTGACCCCATAGCAATGAACTGTCTATCTGATTGACATCCTTGCTTTCAACTATCTATCTGATTGACCACGTACTGAGCAATGAACTGCTACCTGTTTGACCTCTTAGCTATGAACTAGATCTTTATTTACCTTCTAGCTATGAACGGCTTTGTTGATACATCTCATTATGTGCTATTGGTGGTTTGTGAGGATATAAGTGATAAAAAAATAAAGCCTAAAAGTACCTAAAACCAGTACTTATTGCCTGATATGATTCTTTTTGTCAAAAAGTTAAATCAACTATTATGGTTGAACTAATAAATGTAGATGATTGAACTTTAAAATCGCCTCGTCGCGTAGTGGCAACACTCAATTTTTACATGTTGACCCCAATAAGATAAAGACCCAATTTTTTGGGGGAGGGGAGGGGGAAGGCGTGCTATACATATCCTATGTCCAATTGAGACTGTGTGCATGTTGAAATTCAGAAAAAAGGTAAAATCTACACAAATTTGGGTCACCCCAATGAACAGATAACTAAATGAATGATGGAATGATTAGAAAAATAAATGATTGGAAATAAACTGATGAATAAAAGATATTATTTACCTTAGTTTCTGTAGCAGCACTTAAACCATTTTTAATAAGATGAACGAGATGTAGCCAAATCTGCTTTTCTGATACTATCTTAGCCTCTCCCATCCGTTGGTAGAATCTAGAATATAATATCTTAGACTCTCCCATCCGTTGGTAGAACCTAGAAATACAATATCTTAAGCTCTCCCATCCGTTGGTAGAATCTAGAAATATAATATCTTAAGCTCTCCCATCCGTTGGTAGAATCTAGAAATATAACATCTTAATCTCTCCCATTCGTTGGTAGAATCTAGAAATATGATATCTTAAGTTCTCCCTTCCGCTGAGAAGAATATGATATCCAATATATCTGTATCCTGGATATGTCCTACCTATGAAGAATATGATATCCAATATATCTGTACCCTGGATATATCCTACCTATGAAGAATATAGTATCCAATACTACATATATCTGTATCCTGGATATATCCTATCTATGAAGAATATGGTATCCAATACTACATATATCTGTATCCTGGATATATCCTACCTATGAAGAATATAGTATCCAATACTACATATATCTGTATCCTGGATATATCCTATCTATGAAGAATATGGTATCCAATACTACATATATCTGTATCCTGGATATATCCTACCTATGAAGAATATAGTATCCAATACTACATATATCTGTATCCTGGATATATCCTACCTATGAAGAATATGGTATCCAAAACTATGTATATCTGTATCCTGGATATATCCTATCTATAAAGAATATGGTATCCAATACTACGAATATCTGTATCCTGGATATATCCTACCTATGAAGAATATGGTATCCAATACTACGTATATCTGTATCCTGGCTGGATAATGACGCTATGGCTAGAGAAAGTCCCCCACACTCGACCAGTTTCATGTGACGGTCAACGTACACATCTGTGCCAGTCAGGGAACTCAGGTAGGGGAGCAGGAACCTAAATAAACAGATAAATAGATAGATAGATAGATATGTACATTTGGTGGGTTAGTATGTGGATTGTAGATAGATATAAAGATACATAATTAGATAGAGGCTGTGTTAAAAATGGGCAATAAGCGTGTACTTACACTGTAAAGACCCGTTTGAATCGGATTTTTAAGATTAAAACTATTTTTGAGATCTACTTAACATTTCTAATTCAATGAGTTATCATTTATAGGCATGCATTGCATAGCTTAAAATGACATTTCTATATAAAATCATGAGGCTGACAAGTGATACCTTGGATCATACAAGGACTCATCCTCCTGGGCAATATCAGTTTCCTTACTGGTGTCCAGGCAGAGGTGGAGGGGGAACCTGTCCACAGTCCTGCTCATAGTCTCAGGGTTCAAGTAACCCAGACACTCAGATATCTAGATAGATAGATAAAAAGATGGTTAGATAATTACAGGGTGGCCAAAACTTTTTTGAACCCATCCGTACAAAAATCCGTACATTTTCAGAAGAAATCCGTACAATCCGTGCAATCCGTACAATCCGTACAATTTTAGGGTAAAAAAAAATCAATCCGTACAATCCGTACAATCCGTACATTTTGGCCACCCTGTAATTATGACGATAGACTAGAGATAGGTATACAACTAGATAGAAAAATAGATAGATAAAAAAGATGGATACATAGATAGAGATACCTTGATTTATTTCTGAGAAGAGTTAGAGCGAAGGTTGGTTGGTTGGTTGTCGGGAGGAAAGAAAAACAGATAGATGATAGGAAAGATATGGATAGATAGGACGATAGGTGGACAGATAGAGATAGGAGAGATAGATGGATAGATAGATATGGAGAGATAGGTGGATAGAAAAGAAGATATGTGGATAGATATGGATTGATAGGAAGATAAATAGAAGGGATAAATAGAAATAGATATGGAGAGATAAGAAGATAGGTGTAAGATAGATAGATAGATGTATAGATAGATGTGGATACCTTGGTTGATTTCTGTGAAGAATTAGCTTGAAGGTTGGTTGGTTGTCGGGAGGACAGTTTACCAAACAGTAAAGGTTTTGTGGCAGAGATATTAATACCATTCCTTTCCATAGAGCAGAGTAAACGGAGAGTAGCCCTGAACAAACAGCATCATAGTTTAGATAGAGGTACAATAGGAAGACAAGGCTAAGACTCATATTCAAGTCTACAGAATACTAGAACTAAGGACTCCTTTATATTTACCTATCTGAAGAGGAGTGTACTGGAACTAAGGACTCCTATATATTTACCTATCTGAGGGGGGAGTGTACTGGAACTAAGGACTCCTATATATTTATCTATCTGAGGGGGAATGTAGTGGAACTAAGGACTCCTATATATTTATCTATCTGAGGGGGAATGTACTGGAACTAAGGACTCCTATATATTTATCTATCTGAGGGGGGAGTGTACAGGAACTAAGGACTCCTATATATTTACCTATCTGAGGGGGAGTGGAACTAAGGACTCCTATATATTTACCTATCTGAGGGGGGAGTGTACTGGAACTAAGGACTCCTATATATTTACCTATCTGAGGGGGGAGTGTACTAGAACTTAAGACTCCTATATATTTACCTATCTGAGGGGGGAGTGTACTGGAACTAAGGACTCCTATATATTTATCTATCTGAGGGGGGAGTGTACTGGAACTAAGGACTCCTATATATTTATCTATCTGAGGGGGGAGTNAATCAAATCAAATCAAATCAAATCAAATCAAATCAAATCAAATCAAATCAAATCAAATCAAATCAAATCAAATCAAATCAAATCAAATCAAATCAAATCAAATCAAATCAAATCAAATCAAATCAAATCAAATCAAATCAAATCAAATCAAATCAAATCAAATCAAATCAAATCAAATCAAATCAAATCAAATCAAATCAAATCAAATCAAATCAAATCAAATCAAATCAAATCAAATCAAATCAAATCAAATCAAATCAAATCAAATCAAATCAAATCAAATCAAATCAAATCAAATCAAATCAAATCAAATCAAATCAAATCAAATCATATCAAATCAAACCAAACCCAAACCAGAGACAAAAAAATGCCACCTAAAAAGTAAAACATGCATCCTAAAAAGTAAAAAATGCATCCTAAAAAGTAAAAAATGCATCCTAAAAAGTAAAAAATGCATCCTAGAAAGTAAAAAAGGCATCTTAGAAAGACCAAAGTAAACTGAATATTAATTATAAATATTAATTTTCCAATCAAATCCAATCTTTGCAACCAATAGCGATGACTTTTTACATTTTAAACTAGAAATTATGTTTCTAAGTTTGAATTATCAGAGGTTTTCACCATCCAGATTGCAAAGATATGGGAAAAATATAATTTGACTTTTCTATGAGAAATCAGTTTTTTAGTAAAGTGCAGCGTTAAAAAACTAATTACAAAAAATGTTTGGGATAAATGAGACAAAAAAACTCACCTTTTATAAAAGCAGACCACTGTACTTTATTCTTCCTAAAATTAGAAATATAATTTTTTTATGTCACTTTGCCTTACATACCATCCCTAATCTTTTCATGTCACTTTACCTTACATACCATCACTAATCTTTTCATGTCACTTTACCTTACATACCATCCCGGATCTTTTTATGTTCAATTTCTTAATAGCCTTGTTCATGTTATTCTTTAACTACGATTTGGATATAATTTTTCTATATCGTTTCTAGGGATGATTTAGAAAATAATAAGATACAAGATATTGCAATATTGCTTTTTCAGTTTAAGCAAGGGAACGCATACTAAACAATATAGATACCTAAATTAACATCATTAACATTAATATTAACTGTTTCGTATTTGTTGTTGAATATCTGCCAAGACATGGTCCTCCTCAATATCTGCCTCCAGGTACATCTTCTCGTCCTCCTCCTTAACTTCCAAGACATGGTCCTCCTCAATATCTGCCTCAAAGTACATCTTCTCGTCCTCCTCCATAACTTCCAAGACATGGTCCTCCTCAATATCTGCCTCCAAGCAGGTACATCTCCTCGTCCTCCTCCATATCTGCCTCCAAGCAGGTGCATCTCCTCGTCCTCCTCCATATCTGCCAAGACATCTCCTCGTCCTCCTCCATATCTGCCAAGACATGGTCCTCCACAATATCTGCCTCCAGGTACATCTCCTCGTCCTCCTCCATATCTGCCTCCAAGCAGGTACATCTCCTCGTCCTCCTCCATATCTGCCAAGACATGGTCCTCCTCCATATCTGCCAAGACATGGTCCTCCTCAATATCTGCATCCGGTACATCTCCTCGTCCTCCTCCATATCTGCCTCCAAGCAGGTACA